AAAACACACGCGAAGCAAATAATATGAGACGTACGAAGGAAATTAGACTAATGGCGTTTAGAGATTAGAGTAACAAAAGAACCATACAGTTATAATCACAATTGAATGTCGTGCACACTATTAACGTTCGTAATAACGGTGATAGATATACTACAGGGATTGTTGCCCGTAATACACGAGATAAGAGGTCTGTTTCCTGTGGGGCTAAACTAGTGTACACTTTTGGAACACACACACGCGCGCGCGCGCGCGCACACACACACACACACATACACACACTTGCAGTGAGATAGGTATATGTTTGATATTTGTTGAAAGTGAGAAAGAGAGTGCTAGTGCAGTCTAGTGCAAAAGCAGAAAACAAACCATAAGATTCGTACGGCGTCCTTTCGGTACGAAAAGTACGCACAATTGCGCGCGCGCGGTCACCCACCTGCGACGTTCGTATGGGGAATGCGGCCGGCGGGCGGCGGGCGACGCGCGGCGAGTGGGGTGGCACGGCGTGACGTGGCGTGACGTGGCGCGAGGTGTTTACGTAGGAGCTTGCGACCTTGGACGGTTTGAACCGTTTAGGGCGAGGGGGGTAACCACTTAATGTAATCGTGGGACAGAATCCTCGAGAAATCATTATAAAATTTATATAAAATCTCTATGTATAATCCGATAATTATATATGCAACCATGAGAAATCATTGTATAATATTAAATAAAATCGTATATTTCACCAAATTACATCATAGTAGTGAAAACAATTATTTGTAATCAGATGAAATCATGTAATCTGTGGGACAATATTTCAGCTAGTGGTTACCCCCTTGGTTTGGTTGGTGTTTGGATTAAAAAACAAGTTTTTACAACACGTTCATTTTTATGAAAGTTATAAGCAATTGAATTGAATATGTCATTTAAATAAATTCACAATTTAAAAAATTCAGTATGATGTTACGTACTGCAGTGAGATTTTTAACCCTTAGTACACACATTAGTTTTGGGTACCCTTAGGGTGAGATTTCATTTGTGCGTTTTTGCCGTACGACAAATGTGTGCAGGATAGAGAGGTCCTCGGATCTCCTATAGCCAATCAGTAAGCTTAAAAAATTTGTCGTACGACAATAACGCACAAATAAAATTCCACCCTTAATACACACGTCCGGTCATTCGTGTCTTGGTTTAATTTTCATCACTTTTACAAACATATACAGTGAATGCAAAAAGTATTTGTAGAGAGAAAATATTTTTAAAAAAAACTTCATTTTTAAAAAGTAAATATTACCCAGTGAGAAATGAATCATCGAATTGATGTCGAATCAATATAAATACGATGACTTCAACATGACGTCAATTCGACGTTTAATTGACGATCATTTCTTTGATTAACAATTTATTCATAAAGAATAAAATATATTGTATGTTTCTTAAAATTATATATGTACCAAAAAGATGTGTATTGATTATACAAAATATATCATCTGAAAAATAAGCGAAAATTAAAAATTATATTGTTTGAATGCTCAAAAAGTATTCATATAGACGAGAAATTTAGCTTATAAAATCAGGAATACATGCAAAGCTCGTTTGTTTATATTAGAACAGAATGTATTAATTGTATAAAATTGCTAATTAATGTTTATTTTCTACAAATAAAACTTTTTTTATGACAAATTCCCTTGTACGAATACTTTTTGCTCTTACTGTATAAATTATTAAACAATTTTTCTATATATTTTGACGTCTTTAGAAAGTAAACGCCACTCTTTTTAGCAATAGAAAAAAGACTGATATTTGACCAGGTGCTCTTAGTATTTCAAAAAAAGAAATGGGCAGGACACGAATGACCCAGACGTATGTAGTGTGTACTAAGGGTTAAGCAGGGAATAGTTCATATAATTTTTTTACGTAAACGATTACTTAAAGTGTTTTATATTCTAGTTGAAATCACTATATTATTCACAGTATATTGTATACTATTTACTGCTAATTTATGTGTATGAAGAACATTATGAACATAAATTTATTATTTATTCGTAATTTTTTCTAAAAAAGAGTAACTGTTTCAAAACAATTATTAAACAGAATACTGAACAGAAGCACTTTAAATAGTTTGTTATGATAATACTTCTAAAAAATAAAAATTTTAATTACTATAACGCTTTTTTATCACGGCTGTTCAATAGAATTGTATGTTTAAAGATTCATAAAGAATACGTAGTTATAAAAAAAAAGTTGAACAGAGTCTAAATAGCTATTGCTGGTTTTAAAATAAATATTAAACCGAATATTAAACAAAAACTCGTTAAATAACTTATTGCAATAACATTTTTAAAAAATATATATTTAATATAACGCTTATGGATTTTCGCATATTTAATGTGATCGCATATTTAAAGGTTCATAAAAAGTAGTTATGGAAACAGAAAAAAAATGTTAAATGTTAAATGTAAATATCCATAACTATTTGATTTCAAAACAAATATTAAACGGAATATTGAACAGAAGCATGTTGAATAATTTATTACGATGGTGATATTTCTAAAGAAATAAAGATTTTATTTAATATAACGCTTTTTTATTATATAGGTTTTATTATAGGTTTTATTTTAAATGAAATTGCCTATTTAATAATTAAAAAAATAGTTATTAAAAGAAATATTAAACAATATCCATTCAAAATAATATTTTACAATTTACATTTCTTCGCCACTGGAGTGTAAAAGTACATTATAATAATATCTATAGATAGTCCGACGAACGTTATTCATTAGTTTATATTTTAGAATATGTATAATTACCACAAATATACAACAAAAACAGCATCAATTATTCTAATAAAGTATTATTTCTGTTAACAACAATGTGCAATATTCTTATTTAACTTTTAAAAAAAAAAATCATAAAAAACAATATAAAATATCATTCAAATAATTATGAACGGTATAATGTATGTATTTATGTCCATGATCACTGTCAGTTAATCATTGCTCTACATTTTAACTTTTATAGCTATCTTTTCACAGAAATCTTTTGGATAAATATAAAAGTTAAATTCTAGAACAGCAGCACAGCGAGAAAATCGTAAAAGGCTTAAAGAATATATATTCAAGTAAAGAACTTTGAGAGACCAAGAGAAAAACTATTTTTTTTTACTGAGTTTTTAATTCAAAATTTCTAGTTTTTGTCTGGTCATTTTCATCTCTAGGAACATGCAGTTGATAACGAAAACAGTTTGCGTGTAACAAACGCGTGCTACGTAGCCACAGTATCGGGCAAACCGTTGTTGCAGTTGTACGTATGTACCTCTTCGAATTGACCGAACGTGTTTCAACCTCGTGCCGAGTGCCGTGAACGATTGCTGCAACAATTAGTGCGCGTAATGAACGTGCGTCTCTTCCGATACTATACGCCGCGATGTCCAAGCTTCCTTCATCCGTTCATGAGAGAAATATTGATTGATCAGATAACCAGTGATACGTAATATGTAATATATCAGCTCTTTCAGCGAACGCACGCCACGTTATACGTTCAAGCATTGGAACATTTGTCACAAAAGCAAGCAAAATGAATTAAATGAATAAAGCTTATATTGTTAATTTATGATATCATTATTTTATGTTTATTAATATGGAAATATTAATAAATATTAATATGAAAATCGGAATAGTATTCTGATGTTATAGTTACGAAAATTAGATGAGATTTATTCAAACATTGTCGATAAATATTATATATACATATAATTGTATTTTATTTTATCGGTAATTAATTTTTCGTATGTTATAATTAAAGTTAATAAATATTGTTGTTAATATATAAAATAAAGAGATATATTTTGTATTAAAAAATATGTTGAGATTTTTTTATTATTATATTTCTTGTGCCGTCATTTTATAAAGAATGATCTTACTTTTAAAATATTTCAATTATGCGATAAAGAACCCCGCACTAATCGTGTCGAAAATTGAATTCCGATGAAACGAGTTAGTTTTCGTACATATATAATGTAACTTATAATGTAATTACACAAAAGATATAAGAGACACAAGACTTTAACTATAATATCTCAAAGGTGTTCTGTGAGCACAAATTTTACATCTTTAATACATCTTTAATCACAGCCCAAAAATTATCCATTATTGAGTCTTGTACCTATAGCATCTTTTGGTCAACACATTATAAGCTACATTACATGTGAAAACTAATTACACTTATTTCGGCAGGATCCAATTTTCCACATAATTAATGCGAGATCCTTTATTTATACATATTAAATATAAAAAAATTCCATTTTTTGATAAAATATAAAATAAATATTTATTTCAAAATAAAGTTTAAACGTATCCAACACGTCAGAGAGAATTAAATTCATGTTTCATCTCAACAAGAATGCAAATACACTCTTGTTTCCGTGAAGCATCCTCTGTATAACTTCGCGGAAAATATAAGTTTGACACAGCTACCGAGTCCACCTCAAGTTGGACATCAGATAACGCTGTTATAAAGGCTAAACTTTGGCTATCTAGAGTTTGTTCGGCTATATTGTAGAACAAAATTACAGGACATCGAATATTCTCGTTTTGAAGTATGATTAACACCAGGAGTAATTAAGCTTAAACTATAAGCTCAAACAAACAATGAGAAATGAAATGAATGCATCTTGCACAAGTTGCAAAACTTTTAACAAAATAGTAGCTGAAATATTCTGCCAATATCCAAGTTTTTAACTGATTCTTTTAAGAAGTCGTGGCACTCCTGATGCTTTGTCTTTTCGTCGGAGGATCACGAGCATTCATGTAAAACAACTTTATTGGAAAAGTATTTGATGGAAGTTCCGCGTACGGAAATACATATATTTCGCGTCACATACGCCTGAAGAATGTTCTATCCGAATAATTTATTCAACTGTTTTAGTAGCACGTCATGTTTGGCTTAAAAAGTTTAAAGGATGGAAAAGTCACGGGCGGCGTGTATGCACATATCAATCGATATTTCGCGTTTTCTTCCAGGCACAACGACCTACCCTGGAATATACGGAAGTTCCTGAAGAACCAGCTGAGGGAGTTCAGGTTTGATGACCTAAGTGACATTCATCCTTGGTCACGGAGCGCCTGGAGCCACACAGATCTCAAGAGATTGAGGCAAGGCATGGTTGCAGCGCAGGTGAGTTTAATAATAAGTGTTCGTTAAAGTTATTGCTGCGGCCAAAGCTTGATCTATCGCGATACTGATTGTATGTGCAAAATATTTTTCGTTAAAAAACGTGCAGCCTCTCTCTATACAATTAATTAATTGTCGATATTTACGTTGAATCAATTGGTTCAATTTTTAGAAATTATGGAATATAGTAAAAAATTTGTTGAATAATTTAACTTTTGCAAAGATATTTCATGAAGATAAAGTAGAATCTTTTTACTTCCAGAAAATGAACAAGAATACTGTAAAACTCTTAAGAAGATTATTGGAAAGCTGCTTGTATTAAATGTGATTTCTTGAATGTTAACCGCTTGATCAGGTTTTCATTGCTTTAATTATATACGTATTACGCTTATTAGTGTTTCTATTGTTTTTTAAAACTATGACTTCATGTTAAAGATTTTGCATAAAATTTGTGAATAAATTATAATTAATTATTGTTCAGCGAAAATACGCGTCGTACTGCACTGAAAGAAAAGTGTCTGATTTATGACTATAATTACACGGTACAATAATTATGGTTATTACTGCTACAATGTTAATAATAATAATTATTTACAATTCTATATACAAAAATATGTATAGTTGGATCCGAAAATAGCTATAATTTATATTTTTTTGTATTAATATAGAACTGTAATAATAATTACATTATTGTTATTAATATTAAAACAGGAATAATTGTAAAAATGGAGCTTCTAACCGTAATTACTTTATCATGCAATTATAGTTATAAACACCAAACACTTTTCTCACAAATTGCATCATGAGAAATAAAGTAACCAAATAAAAAAAGAGAGATAACATTGTTGCGGATTAATCTGAATCTCTCCCCCCCCCTCTCTCTCTCTCTCTCTCTCGGTTTTTGAAAACAGACCTGGCAATTAGTTGAGCTTAACATGCGATTTTCGCCAACTTCGTCGCAGCTCGCGAGGTGAAAATTAAATCCACGCGAATGAGAGAATCGCATGTCGCCTTGAAGCCACAGTACCGCCAAATTGCAATTAAATGTTCGCACGTAGAACTCGACCTGCAGAGTCATCGACAATTATAACTAATTTAAAGTCACGTTAATCCAGTCTGATTTAAATTCAAGCGGTTGCCGACTCGCAGAATCGCATGCAGTTAGTCGTTCGCCAATATTGCTACGAAATGTTCGCCGTATCCTAAAGCCTGTTTTGTTCGTGGCAAGCAGAGATTATTAATTTATAGCGTGCCGTGTACGTAACTCGGCTATAAATCAAACAGCAGCGGTGCCGCGCCTAATAGCAATTAATCGATTTTATGAAGATTTCACGCCTACGTTTAAACGCGAATGTGTGGCGCGTTTTGCGACTTTGAAGTATCCTGGTGCGTCAATTTGTGCGAATTTCGTGGTATCTATAGCAACAAGTACGATAAAAGTTATGTTGCAGGAAAGGGAAGTACGTGCTACACAATACATGACACGGGAGAGAAAAAAGATTAAGCTATTAAACGTGTTACCATAATAACAAAAATTACAGAAATTAATTATCTGCCGCCGTGTTACATCGTGCGGAACAACCCCGTGAACGAAAGTCGACTAACGCGGACACTGCCGGAATTATCTAGCAGTTCCGATCTTCCGTGAACCGCGAATTTAACGAATATAAATTTGATCTTTCCGATCGCGCAGTTAAAGCTTTCACGCGCGACGCTTCCGCCGGGTGATCGTTAATAACGGGGATTAATCTAAAATCGCAATTAAGATCTGACCGTAAAAAATCACCTCTCGGTTCAATTAACGGCAGAAACGGCTCTTTAACGACCCGAGGAAAATCGAGGCGAACTTGGGCAATTAATTTCCTTCGGTTGCCCGCCGTGCTTCACGTGCCGCCGAAAATTTACCACGACACGATCGGTTTCCTTCCCTTTTCATCCCCCGCCCCGAAATACCTTCGATTAATCCCGCGAAAATCCCTTTCCAAGCGACTCGGTATCGTATCGAATAAACTTCGACATAGCGCGCGAAACTTTGCGCGAAGTCGGAGAATCTCTATCGAGCATATCGACTCTCAACCGCATCCGCGGTAACCTGAAGTGTTCGTTAGAAATAGACGAATCAGAGTGGTTAAAGAATTGTAGCTAAAGAAAAATTTTGATGAATTCCGATAATACGAAAAGAGGAAAGAACAATTTTATTGAAATATCTAAAATTTAACTAGATAGAAAGTTCTGAAGATAATTTTGTTGGACCATCAAAATAATTACGTAGGAATCTCAAGCATGATGAGCGATGTTGCAAAAAGTTTTGACATTCCAGCAAATTTCAACGTCCTATAGATAATAATTTTAATGGTCCAATAAAATTATTTTCAAATCTGTATCCAACTAAATTTTTAGACACGTCGGCAAAACTATCTTTTCCATATAAAGACAACTTTTCTATAGAAAAAAGATCTCTTTAGAAAAAGGAACATGTGTAATCAAAGAAATAAAAGATTCAATTAGTATATCAATTAGAATTAAATATTGCTTGAAAATGCTCTGTAAATAATGTAAATAACGCAACTACTCGTGACTGCATCGGTCGATTCGGCGTAAATTTTTTTATTATAAAAATTTTCTTTAATTCCAAATGTTCTCATTATCAAAAATTATTCCCCTTTGTACGTGGTAAGCTTATTGCGTTTAAAGTAGCTCTCAAAGGAGAACAGAGACTGAACGGAGGCTGCGTGGAGAATTTATTTATGGTACTTAAAGCACTCGCGCGCGCGTCAGCAGAACGTGCCTCTGAAGACACGAAGTGCATAGTCGAGAGTTAACACAGAAGCGGAAGACAAAGATGCATAGTCGCGGTGTATGCGCAAAGTACTTAGTTCGGTGAAAAGTTTTGGGACTCGTGCGGATATAAAAATATTCCTCAGGAACACATTTGAACGTCGAATTTGGCGTGTCGCACATATAAGTGACTATGTACAACCCGCAGTGTGTTCAAACGAGAATTTTGATTCGTGTTTAATAAACGATGTGATTCAGTAGCATGGTAATAGCGGGGTATACTGGTCATAAACTCGCGCAATATAGCGCGCGAATCCATTTAAGAGCCCGATATCGAACGCGACTCGGCAAGGACGAGGTGTAACTCGTACACACGTGCGCTATACGTTCTTAAATGCATTGAATCTCGATTAAATCGGAAGAAGGATTACGGGATTTTCGGTCTCGCGAATACCGATATTCATTTTCGAAGTGCCGCTCTCGTGCGTTTCTCTCTTCCTCTCACCTTTCCACCGTTCCATGATGATAAATCCAAAGACATAGAACATGGACTGCGCCATCCGCATCTAATAGCGAATTTAATTACTTAGTATTATGTACTGGATTAATGTATACTAAAAGCTGCTGTGCATGAAATTAACATAAAGTTAAATATAAAACAATATATGTAGATGTATTAATTTCATTTAAATAATTAAATACTCAATAATGACATTGTTATGTTAACACACATCACATTTAACAAAATATATATACCTAAATATAATTTTATTGCCAAGGTGATTATCATATTATGCCATTACATTTAAATACTTTACATAAAGCAATCTTTAATGTGCACTACTCTAGAATAGTATAAATGACCGAATTTAATACACCAAATATGCACTGAGAAAAATTTCCGGGCTTTATCCGTTCAAAAAGTAATAAACAGATATTTCCGATTGATTTTGATCGGATTTATAAGATTATCCAATCAAATTTATCGGATAGTCCTACAAATTCGATAAATTTGATTGGATAGTCCTAAAATTTGATCGGATAGTCTTATAAATCTGATCAAAATCAATCGGAAATATCTGTTTGTTATTTTTTGAACGGTTATTTTTCTCAGTGTGGTCAATAAAAATGAGAGGAGAAGAAAGATAAAGACGGCCAATATCTCTCTTTTTCTAATCGTAATGAATTACTTTTTAAATCTGAAACATTGGATATAGTCACTAATTACCCAGTGGCATACTTGGCACTGATAATGAAGTTTAACTAAAAAAAGAAGAATGTTTGAGCTACTTCAATAACTAAAATATTTGTATGTTAATTTCAATCTTCCAATAATATATTCATTGAATTTAAGCACTAAAACAAGGTTCACATCATAAAAATTAGCTACATTAGGGATGTCACATTTAATTCACTGATTACCAGTGGCATACTCGGCACTGATATCAGTGATTATCCACTGATTCGGATTTAGAGAGTAAATAGAATAGAGATTGGCTATCTTCACTCTCTCATTTTGTCGACCAATTTTACACACGAATGGCGCGGTCAGTACTGTACAACTTTGGATAAATCCACGTTTTTTCAAACGGGATTCGAGGGCTGCGGGATCCGTTAAAATGCATTACGAATTAACGGAGCTGTTGCTCGCACGTGCTACATAGGGAGTAAGTAAATAATACATCGCAGGAGATTAAACCCCCGTGAAATTTTCAGTTACAATGCAATTTGCAGTCGAACGGGCGCGGCGGGATGCAGAATTCGAGCTCGTGGCCCCAACGCGACGTCACGTTGCGTCGTGTCGGATGAAAGGGTAATGTCGAAGATCGCCCGATATATCCATACGTCGCGCCTCATCGTCGAGTGGAAAGGCAATTTCTCGAGAGACCTTTGAAAATGCCATCATTCTCGTTAGCAAAGACAGTCTCGGGATGATCCCCAACTATTAAACGCTCCCGTTATCTAGACACGTTTACGGCAAACGAGGCGATAAGCCGCAAGAAAGGAGTTGCCATGAATTCGAAAAGTCAGTACCCTCGTGGAAGTGCAGCGTCGAATAAGGCACCTTTGAAAAGGATCGAGGTCTTAGTTGCTTTAATGTTAAGGTATTCGCTCATCTTCCAGCGAGATGGGGAGGGGGAGGGGGGAGAGAAGCCAAACGAGCATCCACCGAGCTAACGAGAAGACGTGTAAATGCGCGCCATTTACCGTTGCAACGTAATGAA